CCCCCACCCCCCCATCAGCTGTGCTCATATCTCTTAAAAGAAAATATAAAGAGAATGTGCCACAGATATTTTGCTTTAGTGTCTGCCATGTATACTCCTCCATTTTCAGTCTCTGTCAGAATCCCTTAATAGCTCCACATCAGTCAGATAAAACAGAAGAGGAGAGAGAGTACAATGACTGACTCAAGGACAAAGTAAGTACCTTAGTCCCTTAATGACTACAAAAATCTTAGTATGCTGCCCCCACAGAGCTCCAAGCTCACATCTTCTAACCACAGACCTTAGGACTTTCTTATTCAGAAAAAGTAAGTCCCTTGGGACCCTAACACATCCCCTATATTCTTCATAAAATAAGTGAGAAACAGCACCTTGCACCAACTGCTTGTTAACCATCAACTGTACTGCTGGAAAGGAACACAGGAGAGACTATATTATATGTTCACATTAACTGATGTGAAGTTTCTCACTCATTCAAAAGCATTTCCACGTTTTCTGTCCAAATAGCTCCTACAAAATACAGCTAGCCTGAACAGAAGGGCACTGATCCAACGGCAAAGGGAACATCAGCAAGTACACCTGGGCAGGACGCTGGGGCAGACTCCTGCTCATGCACAAAGTACCATGGACCATTTAGTGTCCAACACCAGCAATTGTGTCATGGGGGGGGGGGGGCGCACACAATGCTAACACTACATACAGAGCATAAGAGAAGAGAAACTTGCTCACACCGGTTGGAAGGAGAGTAGAATGGATGACTTTACCCTGATGAGAATAAGAAAAAACAGGAGGAAGTGCAAATCACATTGACATCTAGTTTTTTCATCCAGAAAATACATCATTAAGACAAAGATGGATGTGCTAAGTCAGTGGTCCTCAACTTTTTTCACCAGCAGGCTGCATGGGCAGTGCCTGGTCCATCCAGGGGAGGATGGATGGTGGTTCCCATCTAGCCACGCAGGGGAGAGCAGGGGGCACGCTGGCCTGCACAGGAGGGAGTGGGAAGAGATGGGGGGGAGGGAGAGAAGGGGGCATAACTGGCCCTGCAGGCTCCATGGGAGAGGGTAGAAGAGCATGACTCACCCCCTCCCCAGGAGGAAGAGGGGCAAGGCCTAGTCTCAAAAGAGAAATGGGGGCATGGCCCAGCCCCACAGCGCTTGAGGTTTGGGAATCTGGCAGGGAGTAGGGGGGGCTGTATGAATGGCCACCGCTTCCCCACTACCCGCGGGCCAAACGCGATGCCTCCGTGGCCACCGAGGTAGCATCAGATCACACACGCGGCAGCCGGTGCAGCTGGAGGCGCGGCCCTGCGACCCCTCCCGGCTCAGCCCGCCCGCGCAGCCGCAGGGGAGGGCGCGCGGGTACCTGTCGCGGCTCCACCAACTCGCAAACCGCGCGCTCCGCCGTCCTCACTGCGCAGGCCCCGCCGTGCTCTGAGCATGCGCCGTGACCACGCTGCCCATCGAGCATGCGTAGTGGTCACGGCTGAAGCCACGATCCGAACCCTTTCCTCGCTTGTGGCCGGAGGGGGGCGGGGCGTGCTGACACGTGCTGGGGGCGGGCCCGTGTCTGCTGGAAGCGGGGGGTGGCCTCAGGCTCAGGCTCTGCCTGGCGCACAGCTGCTTCCGCCTTCAATGCTGGGGGCTGCCAGGAAGAGGGCCGTACCTAGCCCCTTCTGCTCTGAGGGGTTTGGTCCAAGAGGTCACGCTGCCATGTCAGGGGGTAGCCCATGTCCACGGTGGCGATGGTCTGGCACCTGGTCTGCTCGCTCGTGCAGGCGGTGGTGGTAAGGGTCACGCTCCCCAAGAAGACCTTCAACACCTTCGGGTCTCCTGGCAGAGCAGGATGGAGACACACTTCATGCCACCATGCATGGCGAGCCCGGTGGCAGCCAGCCAACTTGGTGATGCCCGTGACGGTGTCACGTAGAATTTTGGGGTAACGCTCGCTGTCGTCTTTCCCCAGCCCTGCCCCCTTCGCTGCTGCCGGACATGGCTCAGCATGTGCAGGCTGCAGCGTCATATCCTGGGGAGCCTGGACCCACGGTCTGTCCCTATGGAGGCATTGTTTCAACCCCATGGTTAGTCCACTGCGTTGTACTCCAGTCAGGAGGCACAGTAGAGCTAGACTAACTGAATCAGACTCCACCTTGTCTTCTGCCAGACTTGAGACTAAGCTGGCTCACTACCTCTCCCTATAGCTGTCCACTTTTATAGCAGTTATACCCTGCTTAACCACATTAGAAAGCAGAAGGGGAAGGAGCTGCCAAAGGGCTACTTTTTCAAGCTGGGGAACTGACGCAAAACATGGCATGTCTATATGTTCATTAACAACTTGGATGAGGGGGTAGAAAGCTTAGGGATTAAGTTCCCGGGCGATACTAAGCTGTGGGGAAATGTGGGCACACCAGAGGAAAGGACAAAGATCCAGGATGACCTTAACAGACTGGATCTATGGGCAGAACAAAATCAGATGAGGTTTAACAGGGAGAAGTTCAAGGTCCTTCACCTGGGTAGGAAGAACCCCCACCACAACTATATGATGGGTGGTGGTCCACTGGCTGGCACAGCAGCATCTGAACAGCATCTGAACAAGACCTGAGGGTCACAATTGGCTGGAAGATGGATATGAGCCAACAGTGCGACGGGGCTGCCAGAAGGGCAAATAAAGTTCTGGTGTACATCAGCTGATGTGTGGCCAATAGATCCAGGGAGATGCTCCTCTCTCTCTATTCAGCGTTGGTGAGGTCTCAGCTAGAGTACTGTGCCCAGTTCTGGGCACCACACTTAAAGAAGGATGTGGATAAGCTGAAGAGGTTACAAACAAGGGCCACCCATATGGTTAAGGGCATGGAGGGTAGGCCCTATGAGGAGAGACTCCAGGAACTGGGCCTGTTCATAAGAAAAGGCTGAGAGGTGACTCGATAGCTGTCTACAAGTACATCGGGGGCAGCAACAAGAACTAGAAGAGCAACTCATCAGGAGGGCACCTCAAGCAAGGACAAGGAGCAATGAGCATAAACTGATAAAGAGTAAATTCAGGCTGGACATAAGGAAAAACTTCTTCTCTGTAAGGGTCAGCAGAATATGGAACACACTCCCAGCAGAGGTGGTGCAGTCACCCTCCTTGGAGGTGTTCAAGATGAGGCTGGACAGGCACCTTGTTGAGCTCATCTGAACCCAACAACTTCCTGCTCACTGCAGGGGACCGGACTTGATCTTATGAGTCTCTTCCAGTTCTATGTTTCTCTGATTATCTATGATGATAATGCACTTTTGCTAATGTGCATTAAATTGAACACCTCCACTGTGAGGTACTAGAAAAAAGGTGCAGCAGCCTATTTTAATGCATTAGCAAAAGTGCACATTTCTTGGGATGCTTTAATGTGCATTAAAAGAGGCTAGTGCACATTAAAGCACATGTGTAGATGCACCCACAATTTCACAGTTTCTGTCTCCCTACATTCTCCAGAAGCACTTCTCTCTTAGTTGCTCCTGGTAATGAACCTCCCATTTCACAGCCCTGCAGATTGTTTTTTAACTCATTCCAATGAAGTT